AGGGTTTAGGGCCAGGGTTTAGGGAGTATGCGACAGTACCGTTGCAGGGGTATTCTATAGTCCTTTGCACACCCTTCCTTGTCCTTCCCCCCGCCAAGCCCTGAACCTGAAGTTTATTGTAACTCGGAAGGTAATGCCGCGACGACTACCCCTCATGATCGGCAAGAACAAAGGCCATTTCCGGGTGTCTGTAAGAATGATCAAGTCTTTTTCTTGAGTTTAGCGGAGGGTCCATTGAGTCCTTTCTGTCCCTTTCCACATGGCCGGGTCTAGGGCTCGCAAATTACATCACTCTATGACGAAGACTAAGAGGAGCAGCAGAAGTAGGAAGAGGAACAGTTACATGGCAGTGGCAGCGGCAACTAACATCCTTACGAACGGGAAACGGGTGATGGTTCTATGCCATGTGCAGAAGGAGCCACGAAAATAAATTCGCGTCGCCACGAGACCATCCAAACGTGCAAACGCTTTTGCACCACGCCCCAACAACACGGGCCCCTAAACTAAATCCTAAACGCTGATACCGGACTTTCACACTCAGCGCAACCTTCTAGAGCCACGGGCCTTAGGCCCGGAGCTCTTTTGGGAAATGGGGCTAAAACTTAAAGTAGGTGTGAGACATCGTTTGAGCTGCGAATGCCGCACGACCACTCGAGGAGGTGAGGCTGTGATGATAACGCGCAGGATGTGACGGCGATACCGAAGATGATGTTGAGCATGATAAAGAGGACGGAGACGATGATGACAGTGATGATGATGATGATGATAATGATCCTTAAACCCTAAACCCTAAACACTAAACCCTAAACCCTAAACCCTAAATCCTGAAAGCCCTAAAGTCTTGCCGCTGGCGGTGGTGAAGTGCCGGGGTAAAACCTGGATCTCGCCAAGCCACCTTGCTCCGGTCGACTGTCTCGGTGCGTGAGGCACAAGTAGTGATCAAGGCTGAGGCTCAGTATTTAGGGTTTAGGGTTTTGGGTTTAGGGTTTAGGGCAATAGTTAGATCCAAAGGTTGCGATGGCGATTCTGATGGTGATGGTGGTGGTGGTGCTGGGTATGGGTACCACCGACTTCTTCAACTGTGGTGAGATTGGTGCAGGCGTATGTGGATGACAGTGGTGATGCTAGCGAGATCCCGACACTCAAACCCTAAGCTCCCAGCTCTGAAAAACCCAAAGCGCTGCATCGCTGAAAGGCCTGGCAAGGGAAGCCTTCAATCCTAAACACCCACATGACGAGCCGCGGAGTCAAAGCTTGCAGTTGGGAGCACAAGCATAACGAAAAGAACACCCACTTGAACCCTAAAACATCACCAAAACCCAGCGCACAAACAGAAAGCGAGACAGAGACAGCTAGGCCATGCTAAGCCCTGGTTCTCAGAACCCTCCACCCCCTAAACCCTGAACCGTATCCGAAACCCTAAACCCTAAACCCTGAACCCTAAACCCTAAACCCTAAACCCTAAACCCTAAACCCTAAACCCTGAACCGTACTGGCCTCAGGCAACTTGACTCAGGGAAAGGCAGGGAATCAGCTGATGGCCCTCCGCTTCTGCAAAGGCTTCGCGTTGCAGGCACCGGGGGTTTCGAACTACAACGTGCGCAAAGGGTTGAGGGGTTTTAGGGTTTAGGGTTTAGGGGTTTAGGGTGTTTTCAGGCTTTAATTAATATACAATCTTAAACGTACTAGAAGTGTCTGAGTAGTTTGCCCCTGCAGTACAAAGATTCGTTCCGAAACTCTAGTATAAGATAGTATAGGATACGACAAGCCCGCCCATACTACACTCTTCAGGGTGCTTGTTCTGTCTTCTGAAACCTGATTATGGCAATATGCTGTATAGTCTTCTGTACCAGTACTCAGAACCAGCCCTAAACCCAAAGCCATACCAGCTTAGAGATCTGTTGGTCCCAGCGCATGAAGCGACAATCATTGCAGATTGCTCTCCGGGCTTTTCCTTCGCAAGAGAAGGCTACTCTGGGCCCGGTGAGGCTAGCGATGTAGATTTGGGAGTTTCCGAAAATAAGGGGGTATCATATTTTGGGGTCCTTGCAATAAGGATCCTACTATTTAGGGTGCTACATGAGGGTCCCCTGTTTTCGGAAACTCGCATTTCGAAAACCGCAGAACAGCCGCCCTCAACTCATCCGGGGGCCTTGGTTCTAGGAACAACAGCAATCATAGAATAACTTTGCTAAAAAAAAAAGACATGAATAACCATGACACAATACGGAAAGAGTAGTATCACTGAAGAATGATAGTAATACTAAGATATGAATATGTATTATAACAACAGCGATGATAATGGGAATGAAGATGATCGTGCCAAGACAAGGAATCATAATGCCACACCCACATTGTTTAGTTTCTTCTTTGCCGTTTGTTGTCTGATTGCAGCTCTACCACCACTCTGAAGTGCTACTTCTGCATTTGAGTACTCGAATGGGGATTTCCGACAATGCGGGTTTAGGGTTTAGGGGACTCTAAAAGAAACCCTGATACCCAAATGATGGAATCCTGGCCAAGAGGACTCTATCTTGGGAAATGAGGGACCTGCAGATAGAACCGAAAGCCCTGTAAAGACTCACAAAATACCCAAATACTGGGCTCCTCAAAAGGACAGCCAGTTGGTCCGACACCTGTTTTCTCCTAGAGTTGCACCCCCAACTGCGAACACTAAGAGGGCACGTAGACAAGAAACTAAACCCCTCATCGGACTGCTTGTAACATTGTAGTCCAACAATGCAAAGTAACAGGCTATGACGACCTCAGAATTACATATAGGGTATCACCCCCTAAACCTTCGAACTCTTGTTGCCACTAACATCCCCCTTCTCAACCTAAACCCTAAACCCTAAATCCTAAACCCTAAACCCTAAACCCTGTCAAAAATCACCAAGCGCCCATTTGCCCATGAGTTTGGCAGGCCATGGATGCCAACATGGGATCCTTCATTGGCGAAGCTTTCAAGGCTGGGTGGGGCAATACGACAGGTTTAGGATTTCGGGTAAAAACTCCTAAACCCTAAACCCCTAAACCCTAAACACGAAAGGTTTAGGATTTCGGGTATAACTCCTAAACCCTAAAACCCTTAAGCCAACCCCAAGACTCCAGTCAACCCTCGGTATTCCACCCATTTTCAAGCCCCATGAGACACGCCTACAAAGCCTTCTTCATTTATTAGAAAGCCTCGGTTAAACCCAAGGAGACACTATTTAGGGTTTAGGGGTTGGGGGTTATAGGGCTTAGGGTTCAGGGTTTAGGGTATTCAGTCTTCTCCAACTCCGGGCGAAGTGGAAAGCCTGTTGCAAAAAAAGGGTATTTAGTCCTGTAAAGCTCGAGGTGCCCATGGTCTTGAAGCGTTTCCAACCTCGGTTCTACAGCCGGGATCGCGTGACGGCGAGGCGGCCTGTCTCTGTATGCACGTACGTACGTACGTACCTATGTATGTATGTATGTATGTATGTATGTATGTATGTATGTATGTATGTTAGTACTACACGTTTGTATTGGTTGTGTGTGCATACATGTGTGTATATGTATATATACCCTGTCGCTTTATATGGTAAAGGGCTAAGTTTTTTGGCATGCGTATGTATATATATATATATACATACTAAAAATATCTATATGTATATATATATATATATATGTGTGTGTGTGTATGTATCTGTACGAATAACAGGTGGAGACATATGAATGTATATGCATGTATACACGCATAGGCCTTTGCATAATTGAAGGTTACCTACTTTTGTAATGGTTGTAGAGCCTTTTCTGATGATTGCGACCCCTTTTCTAACTTTGATCGTGTAAATAGTTGTCATGATAGTTTTCTCAGGCTAATTACTGTTTCGAGCTTATGGAAATGGTAGCTAAAGGTTCAGGCTTCATCCGACTTTGCAAACGGAATTCTTGTTTCCTCTCATCGAATCTACATCAACCCTGGTTCCAGCACTTACGAAGTCTGCACCACCAACCGCCTCTGCCATTTTGCCTTTCGAAGCTCTGATGTTTCCTAGAGGGCTTGCACTGTATAGTTGGCATGTCCAATGATGGTTTTCAGACCTCATTCAAATTGAGACATGAGCAGCAGCGCGGAAACGATGATGGTCCTTTGGTCCTGAAGATATGGAGCAAGAGTGTGTGCGACAGTACCACTGTACGGGTATTCGGGTATTCTGCCATGATTCTTAGCATCTTCCGTACGGCTTGATTTCACCGGTTCAGGGTAATGTAGAGCCGACAGCCGTACTTGCTTGGACTACCACAGGACTCAGTCAGAAGTACTGAAGCGAGGTTGCACGTACCCGCAGTCGGCACGTCCAGCTTTGGCCATAGCTGCTGCAGCCGAACCCTGCAATGCAAGTCACCCCCAAAGCACAGCCTCGCGCTCTGTGTTAGGCGTTACGGCTATTCAAGGGTGTAAAAAGACTCTATGTAAACCCACCCTGAAGGCCGCAAACCTGAGACCGCAAAACTTGGCATCAAGACCCTGAGGCCTATGGCCATATAGACCACCCTAAACCTAGATTGACCTAGATAGCCGGATCCTTCTGTGAAGACCCCGAAAAGCTGCATGCGTATATATATATATACATACACACGCACCGCTACGTCTTTATGTGTATGTATGTATGTATGTATGTATGTATGTATGCATGTATGTACGCACGTATGTATGTATGTATGTATGTATGTATGTATGTATGCATGCATGTATGTATGTATGTATGCATGTATGTAACGGTGTATCTATGTATGTATGTATGTATGTATGTATGTATGCATGCATGCATGCATGCATGCATGCACGTATGTGTGTATGTATGTACGTATGTATACATATACCCTAAACAGAAGGATCCGCTTTATGAAGACCCTTAAATCCTAAGCTAAAACTCAGAATCGTAGGACCCTTAGTTTGTAGGATGAAGGGTTTAGGGTTTAGGGTTTAGGGTGTAGGAGGAGGGAGGTGCCGTTTGAAGACAGCACAGAGCGATGGGGTCGAGTGAAGCGACGGCTTTTTTTGGGACTCTTCTGTGGTCGCAGGGCGTTGAAAGTGTTTAGGGATTGTGGATTTCAAGCAAAGCCCTTAACCCAAAAACCTTAAACTTTTGGTGAGTCTGATCCGGAATTAGGAATTAGACCCCTAAACCCTAAACCCTAGACCCTAAACCCTAAACCGTTTAGATGGCCCAGTTTAGGTGGCCCAGACCTCCCTGACGAGAGGCTGATCGGTTTCAGAGAGCACATCTTCACCGTGGCCCATGGTATTTGTGGAGCTCGGAGCTCAGCGAGAGGGGATTTACGGTTTCGAGTTTAGGGTTGAGGGTCGAGGGTTTAGGGTTTATAGGGTTTGGGGTGTAGGGTTTAGGGTTTGGGGTTTAGGGTTTAGGTCCTCCAAGCCCCAAATGCGAAACCACAAACTGAAAGCACGAACCTCTAGGCCTAAACCGTCCGAAGCCTTTGACCCTACTGGATTCAGGTAGATGCCTAGCAGAATCAGAACGAGACCGGTGGGACAAAAAGAGGGACAATCGCGAACGCGACAGCATAGAGTACGGGAGCGGGTACTATAGGGGCCTAAATTATTACCTATAGCCTTTTAGCCTATTGTGGGGTTCCTTACTATATTCATAGTATAACATACCCCAAAGCCCTATTCTAATTATTAAGGGCCCCTAACCCTAAACCCTAAACCCTAAACCCTAAACCCTAAACCCCAAAGCCCTATTCTAATTAATCAGGGCCCCCCATAGTAGGCGTGGAAGGATTCGGACCTCGCTTGCACTGTCCGCTAAGTGTGCGAGCACCATGGCACATGAGCTGTTTAGGGTTTAGGGTTTAGGGTTTAGGGTTTTGGTTTAGGGTTTAGGGTTTAGGGTTTAGGGTTTAGGGCATCTTTTTCTTGAAGGTTCAAAGTATGTGTATGAACTAAGATACACGCATCACACGAGTATAGGCAGCTTACTTCGTAATACTTAGGGGGTTCCATGATACACACATCGCAGCTTCGCAGATGTACTGACATCTAGTACAACAGGGGTGAGGATAAATAGTTGTCCCTGTATAATAAGTGTGCTGTACTATAGTCTACCCCCCCAGACCCTATTCTAATTGTTAAAGCCCGTACAGTATCTCATGAGATCGCGACCCGGAAGGACATCAACGCTGTCGCGGAGTGGTGCTTCGGAACCTCCATCCAGCGTGCCGTCAACTCAGAACGGATGTGTGGATGATTCAGAAATACAGAGCGCTGGTGGAACCCATGCTTTGAAACGGTGACATAGTATCAGGTTATCCATTGTCGCGACACCAGGGCCTTGTTCTGTCCATGAAGAAGAAAGCATGTTATGCAGTACATGTCAATGTCATTAGATCACGGTAGGCTTAGGAGCCTTACGTGCTCAATCTCCACCTACATTCAGCATTTACACTGCTCTTCTTCTTGTCATCAGCACTGTGACTGTTGCTACTGCACTATTGCAACGTTTCTGGCAGCATGCGATGTTTTGGGGAATGCAGTCATGAACACTCTACCTACGGCTTGTTTCTCCGTGAGAATGCAGCAGTGGTTGTTGTTGGCCTAGCCATGGAAACCAGGTTCTTGGACCGTTGTATGAGCCTTTAGGGTTTAGGTGTGAGAGTTTAGGGCGTAGGGTTTAGTTTAGAAGCTCAGTCACAGCTAGCTACCCATGACACTGAACCAGAACTGGTTTACAGAAGCCAACTTATTGCTGGCCAGGGTGCTTTGGACTGTAGTCGCCCTACTTTTTTTCTAGCGACCCATGATTTAATTAGTCCCTAATCCCTAAACCCCAAACTTAAGGTGTAAACCCTAAGCCCCAAACCCTAAACCCTGTGCTCGAACCCTAAACCCTAAACCCCTAAACCCTGTAGTACCCTTATAGATCCCTTGTAGGAACCCTTATAGTTCCTTTACAGGAGCTCTAAGACGTCTGCGTGGAGTTGGGACCCCCCTTTGCTGTGCAGGTCCAGACATGGTTGGGTGTGCGAATGCACTACGGCCACCCCGACTTTGTAGCCAGAGCCCTAGGGTTTAGGGTTTAGGGTTTAGAGTTTAGGGTCCAGGGTTTAGGGTTTAGAGTTTAGGGTGGGTTTAGGGTTTAGGGTCTAAGACCCTAAACCCTAAACCCTAGCAGCTGCTATGGCTGTAGGGATAGGACTCCGGAGGTTTGAGGGTGTAGGTTTTAGCTGCATAGGGATCCGTTTAAGGGTTCTTTAAAGTGCTCCCGACGGGCTTTATGATATAGGTAGTTCTCTAAATTCGGGTCCCTTTTAGGGTCCTTTTTATAAGGTTGCGGTAGTATATTGGGGACCCCAAAAGGGACCCTACTTTAGAGAACTACCCATATATGGAAACCCCAAACCCTAAACCCTAAACCCTAAACCCTAACTTTAAACTCAGAAGCCCGGGCCCTGGCTGCTATGGCTGTGGGTTTAGGAATCTTCAGGTTCCACATAGGGTTTCGGGTGGCGGGGTTCGGGGTTTAGGGTTTAGGGTTTGGAGTTTAAGGTTTAAGATCGGTTTTGGGGTTTAGGGTTTAGGGCTTAAAGGCGCTCAGTGGGTTTAGGGTTTCGGGCTTAGGGGCTCAGGGGGTTTAGGGTTTAGGGCTTAGGGGCGCTCAGTGGGTTTAGGGTTTCGGGTTTAGGGGCTCAGGGGTTCAGGGGGGCCTCTTCCATCCTGGGCAGATCCAGGCGTGGACCCTGGCTGTGCAGGGGTTTAGGGTTTAGGGTGTAGGGATTTAGGGGTTTAGGGTTTAGGGATTTAGGGGTTTAGGGTTTAGGATTTAGGGTTTAGGGGGGGATGATGGTGCATATGGTTGTTGCTACTATACGGGCTTTAATAATTACAGCACCTCTACTGTTTTGGGGGCTCGCTAGAGGTGTTCAACAGCCTCGTCCCAGAGTGGATCTGGGCGTCACTGAATCCTAACTTGTTACTTGTTACTACAGGAGCCTTCATGTAAGCAACCGATGGAGACCACCACCCCACATTCGTTTGTTCGAAAGAGATTTCAAGATTTCACTACACACCGCCTGCTCGCTATTCTGCGAAATCACGGACTCCCCCATTCCTGTTTGGTGTCATGTAATCTTTTAGCCCAAACCCGGGAAAGAGACGGCTGCAAGGCTGCAATTCACGCGTCAATGTATCTCATCCCCGCAGAAGCTTACCCTAAGGCCATGTACCCATATAGTAGATACTTGGCCTTAAAGTACCTATATTGGGACCCCTTTAAGGCTTAAGTATCTACTATAAAGGTACATGGAGCCTTTGGGTTACACCCGTCCGCGCCGAGCTCGAACCATAACCATTTTGCAGGTACAGGCATATTTTTCCACACAGCAGCTGGATACTTCGGATGCCCGACGCACGGCTGAACAGTGTGGGGCAGAGTGTTTCTGTTGCCCTGAGAACCTCTTTCATGATTTGTTCAAGGTTCAAGTTTTGGAATTTGGTGTCCCTGTTTTCCTGTTCTGTGCAGGAGATGTGATGATGTGGTTTTAGTTGCTCCTCCATGCACTAGTAGAGGCAGCAGTAATCCTCGGGTGCCAGGTGGTAGTCCCTAAGGCTCCATGTACCCATATAGTATATACTTAGGCCATTAAGTACCTGTATAGGGATCCCTTTAAGGCTTAAGTTTCTACTACTATAAAGGTACATGAGCCTTTGGGAGTGGTCGGTAGTCGCAGAGCAAGGCAGAAGAGCAGCAGACGCAGCAGCATCAGCTTGTAGATCCGGATCTTGCCTCTGGTCTCGACATGTTTCTCCTAAGGCCCAGAGTAGGCAAAGCCTAAACCCTAAATCCTACACCCTACACCCTAAGCCCTAAACCCTAAATCCTAAACTACGCCAAAGGAGAGCTGTTCAATCTCTTGGACCAAGACGGCGATGGGGAGGTGGCCTGCCCAGCTAAACGGCTTAAAACCTTTGGGTTTAGGGTTTAGGGTTTAGGGTTTAGGGTTTTAGGTTTGAAGTAAGGTTTAGGGAACCCCAAGACTACCCGTTTCCGGGACTTGTTGCCCTTACTGCCCTCATAGTACCCTCCCCAGAAATCTGGGGAGGATCCTAAATCCGAAAAGTCGATCTCTCAAGTGCAGTGAAGGGGGTTCCTATAAAGTACCCTCTAGTATAGTAGTATAGGGTCCGAGAGTAGGGGTTCTATTTTTCCGATGATCCCCAAACCCTAAACCCCAAGCCCTGCAACCTTAAACTCTAAACCCAACCAGCGCTGATGATTTGAATCCTGCATTACCTTAAGGACCCTAAACTATGGGAAGTATGGTATATTCGTAGTGATGGCTGAACCCTAAACCCTAAACCGTTCGACCGTAGGTCCCACCATTGTTCAACCAGGGTTGGCTGTGTTGACCCTGCTACGCATGGGAGTCCAGCACGCAGCTAAACCCTAAAGACTCCAAAACAACGAAACCCTAAAGCCCTAAGCCGTAAAGACTCTCAAAACCTTAACAAATTTGAAACTCCAAAACCCTAAAATCTCTAAATCCCTGAAAGCCCTAAACCCTAAACCCTAAAAATTCTAAAAACCCTAGACCGTAAACCCCTCATCTCCTCGTGGTTACAAGCCCATGCTGTAGGAGCCTCGACAGTCAGAAAAGGCTTCCTGTTAAGGGTTTAGGGTTTCGGGTTTAGGGTTTAGGGTTTAGGGTTTAGGGTTTAGGGTTTAGGGTTTCAGGTTTAGGGTGTTAAGGGCTCTTCAAGGCTTTCTATAATCGATCATGATGTGCAGCTT